TTAAGCATTAATTATCCATTATAGTAGTATACTGCATTACAACTTAATCTTGGAAAGTAAAGGTTGCTACACTTATTTAATCAATGATCTTTTGGTTACCTAATTGTCCTTGCTTCTGTTACAGTAAAGATGTCCCTCATCCCCAGGTGATACTGCATAAATTCACTGAACTTATTTACCAGTTTGTCCTCTCAAATGGTGGTACTATTGGCAGATATGCCTTTCCATGCAAACAAAACAGATTGTTCATGTAGATGGATAGTCTCTCATTGGCAACTCTCTTTTGAGCCTTATACTCGGCCCTAGAGATTGCTTTATTTTTTATTGGGTCAAACTGAGGACACAACTCACTGATGACTGTTTCCAAGTAGTCTTGTTGCTCATCATCAAGGTGATCAATGGATCATCCAACTCAGGATTAGACATTGGATAGCCTGAATCTGTCCATTACACTTAGTAACCTGCCCAAAACATTTCAAGAAACGTCCAGAAAATATTTTTCAACACACTTGAACATAAGATGCATGATCTCTTTGGCCTCATTCACAGGAAAACCTCTGGGGTTCTCAGCCTAAATTTGGCCGAGACACACTGAAGCTGCAGGTATGGGTCTCTCAGGGACGCCATTTGGGTAATAGGTCCCTGATCCAGTGTAGTAGGATGGAAAAGTGCTTCCAACAACCTAATCATTCAGCCCTGCTTGAGTCTAGTTCTTCTTCACAACTCGTGGGTTACCTTTAGGCTTGGAGAGGTTCATTTCTCCCTAGTTTACATATTTCACCTGTGTGATCCCATTTTATCGCCTGTACTACCTGGGAAGACAGCTCTTAGTGGCAGAAATCCTCTACCAGTGACAAGCCCACTAAGTGTCAGCAGTTCTGACCAGAGTCAGGTGTTCTGCACTGGCTGACAATGGGCTTGAAGCTCTATAAGCCTCCCCGCATGTTGTCCACTCACCAAGCTACTCTGACAAACCTCAGATGTCCATATTCCCTTGTAGCCAAGATCAATCTTGCCTGCTCCAGTGTGCCAGACGCAAGTAGGTTACCCTGACTCAGTAGTTCTATGCTTACTGATGTCAAGGGCCTTCATAGCAGGGGGAGAAAGTCCAGGAGATGGTTTCTCCCGGTCTCGACACCTCTCACACACAACTGTCTCTATCCAACAGCAAAGATTTCATCTCATTACCAGTACTTTTACTTCCAGAATGAGCAATCTTCCATTAAAATTATTTTACACTCTTATCAACGCAAGATATCAAGCAAGGGATTTATGTACATTTATCTCACCCTAAGAAAATCCCACAATAAATCCTGACACCAAAATTTCTCCTTCTCACCTTACTTGTGGTATACTCAGATCAAAATAATTTATCCAAACAAACATAAGCAGTGAGGTAAACCAACAAATCTTTCATTGTTGTGTTTGAAATTCTAAAGTCTGAACATTTTATATTTACAAAATCTTTATACTCTGAATCACAAGAACATGTGTGTGTGTGTGTGTGTGTACCTGTTAAGACAAATAGACAGTCCTTTCTAAAAGATTGTGTCTAGTCCCGTAGCTTTCTTTCTCTCGAGACAGACTTCCGTTGTATTAACACTGATCTCAAAAGTAAGTCTTCTTTCTTGATCATCTAGTGCAGACATTCCCAACCTGGGGTACATTTGCACTTCTCAGGGGGTACATAGGGGTCTGAGAGTATAACCATGGTTTACACTTTACATGGTGTTTTAAGCTACAGTCAGACAAAGGGAGCAAAGTGGCTCACATAAATATATGTTGTTTAGACAAAAAAGTTGTGATCATGGTGAATGTTGTGATGTTATTGCTGTGCTACATTATAACTTATGTTTTCAATAAGTAATGTAGAACATAAGCAATATAGAACACCCTCGTTACTAATCAGCTGATAAACTAGGGATCAGCCAACTGGGCAAGCTCTCCTTCCTCCATTAGTGCTTTGGGAGAGAATGCCCAAGGGGTACAGAGGAACAAAAAGGTTGGGAATCCCTGATCTAGTGGGAGATCTGGATTAAAAAGTGTGCTCAACCTTAGAAGGAAAACTCGCTTTTTTTTGCCCAGGAGATAGCATTACCTCGTGACCTCCATCCTCAGCATTTTTCAGCTGCCATCTCTTGACCACCTTCATAGTCGACCAGCAAAGGATGTCCCAGCATGAAAAAGTTTAATCTTGACAACTGATCCTCTACTGAAGCATTCCCATGAGTCAAGTAGATGCTTCCTCCTAAGATTACAGAGAAATGAAGAAACTAGAACAAAATTAAGTTAATAACTTTCTGGACCACATGTAGCCACAATGACAGTTCAGAAACTAAGTATTGTAGATTCTGAAGATTTCCAAATCTATACAGAAGGTAGAAAATACATGTCACATCTGCATATCACAAAACTAGGCAATATCCTGTCTCATGACAAAATCTGATTTGATTACATTAGCAGAAGGTCATATAACTGGGTTTTATTGTGTAACAGCAAATATGAAGAAAACAATATGTGTATTTTTTTACTCATGACTATCAATACCACATAAAAAGTCATATTCAATAATGTTGGAAGATATATGAAATCTTGACTCATCTGTAAAGGATACTGGTGCATATTCTGATGATCTGTTTAGGATATTTTTGCAAATTAACTCAAAGACTACCTGCACTAGATGATAAACTAGAGGGAAAGCAGACAGTCAACAGCACCCACTGCCAATCAGTAGGATATGAGCATCATGTTTATACTGTAATCCACTCAAGGTCTCAAAATAACACTCATAATAATAATCTGCTTCTTGAGATTTAACACAAATTATCCCTTAAGATAACTTCTTATAATTAAACCAAATTCTCCCTTATGATAAAATGCTTCTTGTGATTAATCCAAAGTATCCTTTATGATAAACTAATCTTATGCACTTTCCATGTAAAATTATATGCATACATCTAAACCAAGAGAATAGGTATGTATGTTAAATGAATTACTAGCTAAATAGTTATATTTTAGACAAATACCAATCATATTATGTGCTTGTAATAAAATATTTTGGTGGAAAAACTTTCATTAAAGGTGAAAGGTCAGTATTATTAATCATTCCAGCATAGTTTCACAAGTTTTACTAAATTTGTGGTTGTTTTCTGTAATCCAACTTTCACACACACACACACACAGGTATAACTAATACACACATACAAGCATGTCCAGTAATCTTAGTCATATTTACAATAGATTTTTTACAAAATACATTCACTAACATCACTCTTCAAAGTTTAAAATTTCCATAATTTGACAATATTCAATCAGTTTATTGCATTGTGCTTCAAAAAATCTACAGTTAACTATTATTTTCAGTTTTAATAAACCTTTCTACAACATAGTACTTCAAACAGAAGTATTTTTACAAAAAAACACAGAATAATTGTCACCTTGGACATATTTGGAAAACAAGCACATAATTTTGTCTCAAATTGTTAAATCTACTAATTTTAGATTAAAAAACAAACAAACTATGTAATCTTTCTTACTCTTCTAATTACTCCAAACAACTGAATGCATTTAATGAAGTAAGATACAACTTATTATGCACTATTAATGGAATCAGTTTAATTGTACATTAACAACAGCTTAAAGCTCAATGGGTGCAAGTCTTTTTTCCCAATATCTCCAATTTCTAGTACTCAACACTTACTCATATGATGACTAGGATACACGAAAGACATTTCCCATAATGCTTAAAATAAACATATTTTTATTCAAGCTTCTACTTGTCTTATTAATAATTTTGTAGGCCGGTTACCAATAATCATAAACTGAAAAGGTGCAATTGCAAAAATAATTTCTAACATTTCCATTTAGTTTTTTTACTTTTCTTTCACTAATTCATGACAGTGAATTACACAATTGCTAGCTTACATAAACTAGCCTTCAAGTAATAGAGTACAACCTAACATACCACTATTAATAACTATATTTTACAGATTATAAAATGTGACTGGAGATACATGTAATCTGGCACAAATACAACTTCAGGTGTTTTTTTTTAACCTACAGACATGCTATACCACAATTTAAAAATTTACCAGTTACCCCCCTTTTTTTTAGCTAGTACTGTTATGGCAGTATTTCATATTAATCTTTCACATAGCTTGGTTGCATATTATCAATAAAACTGACAATTTTCATACAAATGTGCATACCTCAATAGATTTATGAATTTGTTTGTAATATCACTTAAGTGTTACTATAACAACTTTATTTTCCTTCATTTTCAAGTATATTAACCCATTAACTGCAAATGACGGATATTTCCGTCATTGAAGTTCTATGGTTCAGCTGCAAATGATAGAAATATCCATCAGTTGCACATTTATAACTATAACTCTATGCGAATGACGAAAATTACTGTTTTATTGTGACTGATGGCAGCTCAGTTTTATCTGTGAGTCAGAAAATGGCAACTGAGCTGCTCCTGCCACAGTTAATGGATTAATATCTTGCAACATTAAAGCAAAAAAAAACACAGCAATAGCCAAACTTAGTTTTCTCTAAAAGTGAACTATATTACAACAGAAACTTGTGCAACAGTATGGTAATAAAAAGAATCTATTTACCTGAACAACTTAAGATATGCATATTTAATAAGTACTGTGTAACATATTTGATATTTACATTGAATACTTTTTAAACCACTTAGAGCAAATTTTTTTGTGAAATCCAAACTGTTTAACAAGTTAAAAATTCAAATGCTATTAAAGTTAAAAGTAACATGACTTTCTTTATCTCTTCATGATCACATCAATAGACTTTTTTTTTAAATATTTAATACTTACAATATATGTGTATATATATATGTGATGGTTTTTAGAGCAATAAACTGAAACACAGAAAACTCACTTCAAGAAGAAAGATTCTGGACAATGGCCTATTAATGGATGTTTTTAAATGAATATTACACATTTTGGCTTCTCTCAATAACAAAAATAAAACAATGACATTAATAGAAATCTTTACTTTTTTTCTTTTAACAGTTAGAAAAGCAATTACAAAACAAAGCAGAGTGTACAGTTGTTAATTCACTGGTTTGTTACGAACACCTAGAAAGAATATTGTATTAGTGTGGCAGGATTGAAGGCTCATCTGGCATAATTTCAACCAGCACAGGTATCAAGTTCACATCGTTATTTTCAGTTTGTTCAATGCAACCATCAGGATGGAAAGTGTTGTGGATTTCATCCTGATTCTCTACAACTTGTATCTCACTTGACACAGAGATCAAGTTCACATCGTTATTTTCAGTTTGTTCAATGCAACCATCGGTATGGAAAGTGTTCTGGTTTTCATCCTGATCTGTTACAACTTGTGGTTCACTTGACACAGACATCAAGTTCACATTGTTATTCTCAGTTTGTGTAATACAACCAGCATCAAAATGGTGAGTGTTCTGGATTTCATCTTCATCTGCTACATCTTGTGGTTCATTTGACGCAGACATCAAGTTCACATTGTTATTCTCAGCTTGTTTAATACAACCCACAGGATGGAAAATGTTCTGGATTTCATCTTGATCTTCTACAACTTGTGGCTCACTTGACACAGACATCAAGTTCACATCATTATTTTCAGTTTGTGTAATACAGCCATCAAAATGGAAAGTGTTCTGTATCTCACTTGATACAGCAGTTGCAGGAAAGACAGAATCTTGGTGAAATGTAAATTTAGGATTATTACCAAAGATTTGATTATCATAAGTTTTCTGTACTTCTGTTAATTTCTGTTCATGATTAAAATCCTCAGGTGTTGAAGAAAACTTTGTAGAAATATCTCTCAAGTCTCCTACACATCCTGACAGTAAATACTTAGAAAACATTTTGGAAGTAAAAGAATCTATCTGTGTAATAGCTGCTTTACACAAAGGAAACTTATCAAAATGACAGAAAAATGTTTTCTCATTTAGAAAGTTTATCTTGCAATTTTCACATCGGAAGGCTTTGAACTCATTTTTAAGGTGATCAAAAGGAATTATATCCAAATCTTTTGTTCCTTGTTTTATTAGTGATACATATACAATATGGTTAGGCTTCTTAAAAGTTTCTTGAGAATGAGAAAGTGCTTCTTTTCCTGTTAAAACCATTCCACAGGTACACACAAAAGGATGAGCACGCTTGATGTGATTCTCTATGTAATTCTGAGAGACAAATGGACGAAAACAGAAATTGCAGCTCCAATCACCTGGAGGATAAATCTTATTTGATTGCTTTTCTGTCTTTTCCACATCAGGTTTCAGTTGATAGTCTTGAGTAATTAACATGTTCTGTGAATAGGGTAAAACCTTCTTGCTGTTAGCTGGCCTACAAGAACCTTTATCAACTTTAGGAGTTAGTGACTTATTTATTGACCACAATGATAAACACTCTGACTGATGTTGTATCAATTTATACTTCCATCTGAAATATATGTGGCACCATGGACACTGATACCGATGAGTAATTGAATCACAATGGTGTATCATATGTTTCAAGTAATTCTTCCTATCTTTCATTTTCAACTTACATATTTTACAGCTATAAAGATCTTTCTTATCAGTTTGTTCAATTTCGTATTGTATTTTCTGAGATTTATTCTGAGTTTGAAGTAATGTTTTCTTTTTCAAGCAAATCTTCAAAGGCTCATGGCCACGAAAGGTCTCAAATATTTTATCAGATTTACCGTTTACTACTTCATAATTTATTTCACAACTTTCTAAATCATCATCTACTGTTTCTGCATAGTTTTCAAGAACATTTGATTTGTCACTTGAGACTGAAATGTCTTTTTTATTCATGTATTTCTTAATTTCTTTTGATGTTAGTTTTTGTAAAACAACTTTACATGACTTTGCATGTTCCATGAACTTGTTACATTCATGATTTGCAAGATACTCAAACCTTTGACCACATTTTGGACACCATACTAATTTACTGGAACAAGCCGCGAAAGGAGATTCGAGTTCTTCAGAAGAACTCTTGCTTCTTTGGGATGACATGGCAAGGTAACACTCATAAACTGAGCACTTGACCTCATGATTTTTCAAATCCTTTAAAGTAGGAAATGATTTTGAGCAGTTCTTACAAAACTGTGAGTTATTAACAAAAACTCCCTTACAGTACAAGTCATGTCTTCGAAGGTCATTGAAATCCACACTTAGAAATGATTTTTCACAGAACTGACAAAATATCTGAAACCTGCTTTTAGAATTGGCCTGCATTTTCTTCGTGCAGTTTTTTTGATGAACTTGCAAAGAAATTTTACTTTTAAATTGTTTACAACAAGCAATACAAGTTTGTTCATGATCTTTTTCTGAAAAAGAAAGGATACTGAGTTTCTTTTCTGAATTGGTATTAACTGACAATTCACTTGAGCACTTGTTATAAGACTGTGATACATTAGTTAATGATGAAAGACTGGACTGGACCACTTTTTTTGAAGTAATGTGACTACTTTTAACATCATATGTTTCTCTACAATATGCTTCATGCCTTCGAAGAATGTCAAAATCATTACTAAAAAATGTCCTTCCACACACTTCACAGGATATTCGAAACCGTCTTTTCCTACTTTTCTCTCTCTTAACCTTGCAGTAGTTTTTGTGGACTCGAAGAGAATGTTCATTTTTAAAGAACCGTTTACAGACAATACATTCTAAGCCAGGTTTTTCTGTGCATTCCCCCTTTTGCTCAGAAAGATGATTTAAGTAAGCTCTACTACTTTTGAAGTTCATTTTACACCATCTACATTTTAACCTTGGATACTTGTTCATGCAAGAAGTCGAAACTCCCAAGTGTTTTATGAATTTTAAAAGACTAATAAAATTACCTGAGCAACGCAAACATATTACTCCAATCTTCTTCTTCTTTTTATTTGATTTAAATGTTTTGGTGCTTCTTTCACAATTTTCCTCCTTGATTATACGCTGATTTAAATTGCTGCACACGTGGCACTTAGAATTAGAAGAATTTTTTCTAATGAAAACCCCACAACTCTGACATTTACGTGAAACAATATCTTTAGAAAATGAGCAAAACTTACAACAGCTCTTGGTATGCTGTGGAGGCAAAGTGTGACCACATCTAAAACACTTCTTTACAAAAGTCTTACCAGCCGAGAAAGTCATTTGTAAATAAGCTTTAGAACATAACCTTGCACGATTCACTGTATGGTTTCTAAAATCTCTTAGTTCATGAAACTGTTTCTTACATAATAAACACGTATAAATTTTTTTTACCATGTTCTCAACTCCTATGTCATATAGTGGTGTTACAAAGATGGAAGGTTTGGATTGCTTGTTTGCCGGACAGAGTTTCTTTTTGTTTAAATAATGAATTTTATATCCTATCTCAGTAGGAAAGGTCTTATTACAGTCAGCACATTGAAATTTCTGTGTTTCTACAGTAAAGTCAGTAGACTTAGGTTCATTTATCTTTAACATTTTAGCAGTCTGTTGGCACTCCAAAATATGATTTATCCAAGGCATGCTTTTTGGAATACTTACACCACACCTTTTACACAGAACACTGTTTTCACTTAATATCACATCACCACATTCTTGGAGAAGTAAATGATCTTCTGGTTTTGCTCCTTTACAATCTTGGCTTTCAGAAAAACTAATCTCCACAGAACTCCCTGCATGAAAACTTTTGAGATGGTTATTTATTTCAGTAAAATCAAAAGTTTTGAAACCACAAAGTGGACAGCAAATGTACTTACATAAATGTGTTTCCAAAGTCTCATGTTTGGAAAGTATTTTATGACATACTGAACAAGAAAAGGATATTTGTTCTTTCCCATTCCACTGGTGCAGAGCTTCCGAACCGCGTAAATCATGGGGTGTGGTACTTTCCACGCTAACAACATTATCAAAATCATTTCTAGAATCAACTCCTGTTTGGGTATATTTACAATCATGGTCTTTAAGTAACTGGCCATGTATGAAAAACTGACCACAGTTCTTACAGTGCCAAGTACGTTGTTTAAGTTCGTTTTCATTGATATCAACAATAATTACATTTTCTGCAGATACTTGTCTTCCTTTATACCTACAGAATGGAAAATGAGAACCATATGTTTGACTCATCAACTTACAATTGCAATGGGGACACTTGTTTTCTGTATTACAATGCTCTTTACTGTGTGTACGCAAAAGTGCACGAGATGGAAAAATCCTATGACACTGCTTACATGATACTTTTCCTTTCATGTGGCATATTCCCATATGTTCATTTAGTTCTCCACTGTGTTTAAAAGAAATGTCGCAAAACTTACATATGAGAACACAGGGATTATCCTCTTTATTTTTAACTCCAAACTGTTGAACATCTTCACAATTTGTAACTATATCCTGCCTGCATGACTGATCAAGTGCATTCCAAGTTGAAACACACACCTGATTACTTCCAGTTTGCCAATCACAGAAATCAGAGTTTGAAGTTTCTTCTGAAATCACTTGCATTTTCAATGTTTATCAGATTCTCACTTAAAGTTTATTAGAGATATGAAAGGAACACTTGAACAACGTAGCAAGTGGAGAGGTTCTATAAGTTCACCATCTTCATCTTCTGCCGTAAAGCTTTAATTACCTACAAAAATATCAGATACATATTTGATTAAAGTCTACTACAAGAGTTCAGGTAAACATATATCCATCATCTATTCAAAAGCTCCTCATCCTTTCTTTCTTGAACTTTAAATGCAAAACCAGAACATCATATTTAGAAAATAACTCATCAATCATAACCTTGATATACGACTAAACCTGAAAAGGCTCTTATTAAAAATAAATGATATTTAAAATTACCAAGTAACTACAAGATTTAAAAAAAAAAACACTTTCATTTATAACTACATTGAAAACAACTATTCACTGTGAAAATGCCAATACTATTTACCATATGCATTGTGTGCATGAACATGCTCACTAACAGACAAAAGTATAAATAAATGAACTTTTTACCTAATTACATTTGTTAGTAGTTCAATATTTTACTTTTTCAAGTGGGCATCATCAATGAATTTATATTTGACAATCGAATTTCTTCACTTCTTGACTTGCTTCTTTTTTACACCTTAAAATCATATATTTCATGACAGCCTTGACAACTATAAAAGAGATACCAGAAATACTGATATTATCACTACATCACTTGATGGTACAAGAAAACTAAAGGTGTGTAGGTTGTTATTTACAGCCCACATCTTAACAATTATTCATGTAAACTTGGCTAATTTTTACTTAAGCATTAATTCAATGAGCCAAGGTTTCAACAAATACATTGAAAAGGAAATTTCACTAGTTGTTTTCTCTACTGTTTTATACAAAATGTTAGTCTTTGGGCTATGCTTATCCAGTTCTCACTAACTTAGTTTAATAATGCAATGTTTCATTTTAACATACTGTAATGTTTAAAATTGTGCTCAAGAACTTATGAATGAAAGTAAAGAAAAATGATAACAATATGTCAACCACACTGCATCAGCTACATCCAGTTTTTTGTAGGAGTTTTGACATTTGTAATGTATTCTATTGTTTCATCACTGAAGTATTACAGAAAGGCATAATAAACCCAAGCTTGGATAAATATACCAGTGCCTTCACTTTCTCAATGTTCATTGAAATTCGTGGGGGGAATGGCATAGATAATTATACAAACACTTTTATTTCAGCATAAAAAATAATAATGATGGAGTTTTTAAGTGATTTAAAGCTTTCTATTGTATTTGTAATATAGTACAATTATTTAACTCCTTAAAACATTTCTACATTGCATATGTGGTACTGCCCTTTGGCTTTGAACACTTCATTATGTGGTCCTGTATTAACACTCACCATGATGCACCACTATAACTATATATTTAACCTCTAAAATGCTCAATGTATTAATCATTAATCTATAATTAACTTTCAAACTGACTAGACATGTAATGTATATTCATATTTCCATAGCTCTGTTTTACTGTATGGTTTTAACCTTTTGGTGACCAGAAACTGAATTTTCTTTCAACATACAGTCTAACAACTATATTTAAGTGTATGAACAAAATTTTGCACATGAAGACTCAGCCAATAATGGATTTTGGAAAACAGTATTTAATGAAATAACAGTCTTTCAGATTCATGGTAACTAGAAATTGAAGTTTCATTAGAAACATTTAAGACTTTCACATACTTATTACACTCCTGTTTCTTCATCAATGTAGTTGTGCTGTACTTTTGTGAGAAACGATAAAATTACTATTACTAAAAGCATTTTGGCTTCAGTACTTGCATTATTTATACTAAATTTCCAACAAATGTAGAAAAAAAAAATTCAAGGTTAGTTTTCTTTTATTTTCATTTCTCAAATGTGATTAGAAATTAACTGATCCCACATTTAGTGGATCTCAACCATTCTTACACCAGATTTGAATTCAATCTAATAAACTATTTTAGAAAACACAAGAAAAATCATGTAAACAATAAAAATTCCTAAAGGAAATAATCAGCATACCTCATGAATCTAAACAGATCACTATTCAATCTATCAGTTAAATACTTAAAATGTACAGCTCCTATCGTTTTCTTCGTAAATGTTTTTAGTAAGGGTAAAGATCTTTGCCTTAACCCAGTCCCTCAATAATTTTTCTAAACTGATCAAAGCCATACCTAAGCCTATAATGCACATGTATGAAATGGTGATACCTACTAGATGGAACAAAAACAGGACCTTTCATACACATTTCATTTTTGTTTGCCTGAATAGTAAAATTTGAAAATAGTTCATTTTTACTGATTTAGCCTTTATTGACTTAAAATGTGACATCTCTTATCAAGCTGTGTTGTAGTAACCATTTCTTCCTATGTGCTTTCCAAGTTCCAGGTTTTATATACTTTGAAACATATTTACATTTCTATTAGGGTTACACAGTGAGATAATATACATTATTCTTCTCACTGTACTTTAGGTGTTTGTTCATATTCTTAAGTCTTAATGAAAAAATATAACAAATGAAGAGCAGTTTTGTAGCATCAAAATTCTATTCATTTCTGGCTATTTTTATTTTAAATGCAGTAAGGAAATAATATAAGAGGTTGCATGTAAAATTTAACAAAATCAAACAAACTACTCAAATAGAGATAATGAAGTAAATACTACAGCTATCAAATAAAACATGTGGAAGATTCTGAATTTTTATTTAAGCGTTTTGTCATTTTCAGAAAAGAATACCATGTAAAAGTATTAAAACTAAAGAGTGCTTACAAACTGAATACATCCCCCCCCACAAATAAAAGCTTCCTTCTACGATATTAAGTTCTAGCTCTTTTTCTAATTTTTTTTGTATGTTTATTTGATACATCATTTCTGGATTAGTTTTGTCTCTTTAATCACAGATTTAATCACAGTCATTATGCCAATAACAGACAATGTGATAAAGTCTAGATTACCACATATTAACACCACCAGACCAATGAACTGATATGTATTAAAGCTTAAGATACTGTCAAAGTTAGTAAAATTATATTTTTACAAAATGGTGAAAACTACTTGAAAAACCAATGTATATTGTCCAAGATTGAATACATCCTGTTCTAAATCAGACTTGAACCATGAAATTTAGTACACTAAGCTGGTACCCTGCATTTTAACAGATTATTATATCAGGTATTACTTTTCCACCAAAACATTCTCTATCATATTACTTGTAAGTATTTAAATGTAAACAAAACATGCGACTCAAAATTTCCAAATGTCCTTTACACAATGTAGAGCACATATCAAGAGATATTACATACGGTCTGCTTTCTTACTATAATTTGAATATTCTGGTTGATAGTTGTGCTGTTAAATTTCCTTCAATGTTTCTGATGCAACTACTTCCGTCACTATCTGATTTGAATAAAACACACGGCAATAAACATTGGGAGAGATTGATCCATAGATGTCAACAGACATTTCTAGGTAACTTAGATGTTGTCAGTAATTTTTGTGTTGTTGATGTACTCATGGCTTGACACAAGATACAATTAATTATCACTCATGATCTATCTTGTAATCAGTGGTGACTCTTCAGGTGTGGCAAGTTATGTCTTCTGTAGAAATTCCATGTCTGCATTCCTAATCTAAACACTTAAACAAAACATATTTTTCTATCATTAATTAGGTTTTAGTAGTAATAATCTGTGAGTGTAATAAAATGTTTTTTGATCTGTAACTCTGTCTTTTGATGTTTCATACCATCTTCCTTTGTGATATATCTATATCACTTTCTTTGTGGCTTCTCTGATTTCTTCTTGAGTAATGACCTTTGAAGAAGCATGTAGCACATTGAAATTAACATACTTTTCTGCATATTTGAACACAGTACTAGTAGCATGTGTTGAAAAATGCAGTTTGTTATCTTGGACTATCTAGATTGGTGCTTTACAGTATAATAGCATTGTTTTAGTTTTAAACTCACATTTTTCAATGTGAACTGATATATTTAGTGTTAGTTTTTTAACCAGTGTAAGAGTTCAATAAAGTGTACAAAGTTTTGGATGAACCTGTAACTACAGTTTGCTAGTTCATGAAATGATCTTACCATTCTAGAATGTTCAGAATTATGTTTTTTGACAGCTTTCTACCTTTTCAGAAACGGGGCCTCATTCCAAATGCTGAAAATATGTATCTATAAATTTTGATTGACTTTTCATTGTAATACCCATAATATTAAAAACTGTGGCTAATGCCTATTTTTTACATAATGGATTACAGAGCTGGACGTATGATAAAATGCAAAAGTGATAAGACAAATTATAACTCTCTATATTTTACAATCTGTAGTACAGTACTATTGTAGATGTTATTTATTGTTTGGTTAAATTAACCACTATAGTAGAAGTGAATAAAGATGTTCATAAATCAGTTAGGACAAATATACAGTTAAAATAAGATTACTAAGTTAGTTGTCATTGCATTACGGTGTGTGGTAGTACACTGATATTCTATACCAGAAAATCTTTAATGAAAAAATTAAGCTCCACATATATACAATTTAGTTCTAAATTCAATAAGCATACCTAGCACAATGGAATTAAAATTTATCACTATTTTCACAAACTATATATTCTAAAATTATACAAAAACTAACTGTGGATATTCTTAATAAGTATACTGTTAATTATTGCATCAATTAGAAACATTTTTAGGACATAAAATAGAATGGTCAAGAAAAGATACATCTTCATAGCATGAATGGAATACAGATGCATATAAAAATGGATTTAATTTTCTCATTATTTTTTTAGCTATCACAATCATCACATTAGTTAAACAGTCTAAACAGAACCAAATTTAAGTGAATTCATTAGACTGTGTTAAGTATGTACACTCTTAAGACTGTTGGACTTGCCAACTGTCCATTCTTGTTAACTTATAAAGTAGAAAGATCAATAGTCGCTTGATAATTCAACAATAAATGAACATTTGAAACATCAACTTCTGCTAAAGTTATCCCAAAAGTGGTGTATTTTACTCAGATTATTTTATCGTACATAGCCAACAGATAGTAAACTGAAGCAATTACTGCCACAACAGTTTTGTAATAATAAAAGACCAAAAACATGTAAACATAAACCTTACTTTATTATATTAATGAATAACTTTCCCATTATCCTTTAAAGGGGACATCAAAAGTTAACTTAGATTAGTTTTATTCAAAATTTAATATTGATTTTAATGAGTGATTAAAATATGAAAAAATAATGTCACTGGTATTTATATTATTTATTTTTTAAGTCTTTTGATCAGAATCAGGAGTTCTTACTCTAATCAGCTCAGTTGATAGATAACCTCAGCATTATTGTAGACAAAAACTTAGGCATGAACAGAGCAGTCTATGCTGCCTACTAACCTGTAGTCATAATCCCACACCTGAAGTTTATTCAACCCAAATGTTTCTAGGTGGTGATGCACTTACTGGCTTGAAAGGAAATCAAATTGTGAGCACTACCTCACCTGCCAGAACAACTTGTATGTTGTTGGTTTTGGTGAACTGTAAAAAGAAATATACTGAACCATTGAGAAATCTATATAGGATCTTTGGTATTATGGAAAAATTACTACAATTTTTCCTACCATTTCTATAAATGCTAATAAAGAGAGCAGACCAAATTTGATATGCATTTCTTTAACAAGAGGAAGTGCTTTATTTAAATTATGTTATTCTGTATGAGATTATTTTGAAAATCTAGGAAACTTTTGAAAAGTAAAGCTCATAACCTTGACAAGATTTATTCTAATACTCTGAAAATGCCTAATAAAGAAATTATAGTAAATGTTTCCTTTAAAGAAAAAAAAATGTTAGATAGATACTGACTTTCTGATTCTTGGAAGATAACTAGCATGATTCTTGCTCTTAGACATAATAAACTGACACAACACTCAGAAACTACAGGCTTATTAGTTGACTTAAAACTGACATTAGCAGTGTTGTAGGAGAATATGTAGAAAAGTAATTTAAAAGCTGGTACAATACTCAGCTTATTTTAAGTAGTGTTTGAAAGTTATGTTTAACTGTGCTTTTTAACTAAAGTATCTACCTTTTTTTAAGGACTTTTCAATGTATGTAGTGTACTTTGACTTTTAGAAGGTCTTTGATAGGATGATTAATAAGTTAAGTTAGTACCCCAGATTTTTACAGCATTGGTGGGAAAGTTAAAAGGTAGAACACAAGGTGGTTGATGTTGATAAAAGGGGAATTTCTGAGTGAGATAATGTGTCTAGTATGGTTCTCTTATGATTTTATTATGGAAGTTTTCATATTTATCAATTATGTCAAACATATAGATAGCTACTCGGGTAGGAATTTTACTGTGACACTTAACATATTGAGAAAGGTTGATTCTATGAAAACTATTAATTTAATTTATTACTATGACCATCTTATTAATGTAGTAACTGTGTTAGATCATACAAAATGCATTTTAAGTTGACAAGTATAAAATTATGCTTTTGTATCATAGGAACATTGACGTTAGCTCCTCAGATTACTGTATGCAATTTTTGTTTGTATCTTCTTTATTCAAGGAAGAGTGTTGACACACTTGAAAATGTCCAGAGATTACAAATTAGAATGTCTCTTGGCTTAAAAAATTAGATCTATGACAAGTGACCTACATATTTTGAAACAAATTATTCCATTCATGTTTTTAATATTATTAAAGGTTTTAATTGTCTAATTATGGGATGTCTTAGTGGTAAAATGATAAAACTAAAAATGAAAACTTGAACATTGGTAATAAATTATAAGGTTGGAAACTCAAATCCATATAGAAACTTGTGGAACAGTTTGCTTGATGATTTGTTGTGTGCTGTAAATTATAATTAGTTTAAATTTTGGTTGACAATAAACACAGATGTGAAAGACTATGCTTTGCTTGGTGGAGAATGATTTGAATGGTTTTGTCACCTTACAGATTTTTCCTTTTAAAAGTTAATCTTTTAACTTAAAAATAAACACATTTATAACTCCTGTCCACCTAAAAGTTGTTTTCTTTAGTTTTTTGGAACCTTATTATTTTCCTATTCACAAGTACATTCCACACTCTCCAATAACTTTGCACCATTTTTGTCTTATTCACTGGGTCCACGAATATTAAAAGGAAAAAAAATCCACAACTGATAGTATTTTACAAACAGAAAATCTACATTTAAGTGTGTATACACACACACATATATATACAATTATATGTAAATTATATTCCTATGACTATCCGCTATAAAAAAATCAAAGCAGTTTTTTATAACTTCAAATGTGAAACCAGATGTTTATTTTTAACTAAAAACAATTTCTCTTCTAAGTTAGCATACATGTTGAATTATAAGACTATTTCCAATTTTAAAAAACACTGTTCAACCATAATTCAGGAAGTCAATTTCAAAATAGATATAAAAACAATTCATAACTAACAGAGTTGAATTCTCAGTAATACAGTGGGGAATGAATTTCAAATTGTTTAGCTAAACAACATATTCAAATAAATTTTAAAGTTATGATCTCTATTTTTTTCAACAAGCAAAATATTTGTACAAACAAAGGATTATGTAAAAATGACATATTTTTAGCTATCATTTTATTATTAAAAATTCAATAAATTAAAATAAGCCCAAATCTGAATGCAAAATATTTCACTGTTAATCTTTATTAGTAATACATTATGTCAACTCAAATTTGTGAGAAAACTTTGCATTATATATATCAAAGAACAAAAATCTAACTTGCATACTCATTGAACAGTATTATATGAAGAAATTATATGCCTTTATTTTTTTTATGGCCTAATTGGTATCACTAGCTCTAACTATTAATTAAATGCATATAAATAATCAAATAATAAATCCCTAGTTATGAAATCAATTTTATCAAGTGGATATTGGTCAATAATATAAACTGTCACTAAGTGCTATGATAATTAACACTATAAAAACATATCAAATGATTTGTTTCAACTACTATAACTGTTAATATTTTAGCACTTTAAATTAATGAGCTTAAAATGTATAAAATAAAACACCATTCTAAAAAATTGGGATACACATATATTAACTTTTTTTTCAAAATTTATGTTTTGATTTTAATGTTCACTTGTATAACTAATTTTCAAAACAAAGGTTGGAAAAACGTTCTATTAGAACTAGTATTAGTATTTTATATTTAATACTAAACTACTAATACTATGAATATGTGAATAACTTAATCTTTGTAAGATTCTACAAAATTAAAATATTAAAACTGTAACTGTAAATAAAATGGGAAATACTGTCTGCCACCAGTCTGAGTGACAGTGACAACAACATTAGTCAATGTGTTCTTTTTAAAAGTTTTAAATGAATTGACCTACGTAATATTAATAATGAATATCATATATAAGGTAACTGTATTTTAAGTGTAACGTCAAAATCTAGTTCTTAATATTAATTTTCAGTTAGTCTAAAAAAATCAACTGTCGTAAGCCTAGGCCTATATTTAACCAGTTAAGCCTAATAAGTAACGTTATTTCCTAATAACAGTAGTTACTCCTAGCCTAGCTGTTCAACAGGCCTAACGCGATGCTTACAAGTTACACTTACAGTTATAAACATGGTTGCTTATTTTATGAATATACTACATTAGTATTTTCTCGCTGAACAACATCACATATATCAAAAGCTTGCAGTATTTTGCTCACTAATGCTATGTTGTAGAGCCTAACAACTTCAACATCTTTTCTTCAACCAACAGGATATTGATTTTTCTCACGTACAACAACATTAATGGCGCTTCGCTCTCATACACTGTGACGTCACATTCGGAGTTTACTTGCCCGTTAGCGACTGGTGGTCTTGTTGGAAAATAAAATGTGCAAGTTTCGGATAACGTTTTATCGGTTGTACAAAGTAAAACTTTTGTTGATTTTGTTAAATACATAGTTTATATAAAACTATGTGTTTTATATAAACACATATCCCTACTTAGGCTCAGGCCTTCGTGTTTTATTTTTACATTTGACAGTTCATCGATAATTACTTTATTAATTTTATAACAGCTTATTTGGTTTGGTTATGTTAAAACAAAGCCACATTGGGCTATTTCCTCTGTCAACCACAGGGAATCGAACTCCAGATTTTAGCGTTGTAAGTTCGTATACTTACCGCTTTTTCCACCGGTGGACATACAGTAGCTGAATTTCATGCATCGTAGATTAATATTGTTATTGATGTTCTCGTGATTCTTTTATCTTATATTAATTTCTATTAGCCTCAATTCATGTGAAACGTTGTAGTGATAAAATAGGAAAGGATCATATTAGTGATTGTAAAGAAGAATAAGATACGCCCAGGTTCTGGGTTGATTTTAGATGAGTGAACAAGGTGACGTGTGTCAATAACTTTCTCTTGCCGTGGACAGATAAATGTGTGAATGTGTTGGAAGATTTTCTTTAGTTCAACCTTTAGATATGGTGTCCAGATACTGGCAAATCGAACTGGATGGCAGAGCTAAGACTTTTTTAGCAGGAGAGATTGCTTGTAAGAATTTCATGCCGTGCCATTTGGCTTGTGGAATGCACTTGTCATTTCTGATAGGCTAATGGATTTTACACCGAAAGAGCTGCAATGGGAAAAATCCCTGGTGTATGTTGATGACATTTTAGTGTTTGGTTGCACGCTCGAGTCTGTGGCTGAGAACCTGAAACTGGTATTCCAGCAGATAAGGAATGTAGATATGAAACTGAAACCATGTGTATTCAGGTACTCAAATGAGGAATTTCTTGGCTGTATTGTGGGTAGGTATATAGTTTCCTCAAATCCTGTTATAATAGCAGTGGTGAGAGACTGGCTTCAACCTACAACCAAGCGAAAAGTCCACAGTGTCCTTGGTTTTCGTTGTACTACCAAATATATGTGGCCAACTTCTCCAAAATAGCAGCACCGTTATCAGCTCTCACTAAAATAGAAATGCACTTTAGATGAAGTGAAGCATGCTTTATTGGAAGCCTCAGTACTGAAATGTCTACAAAAATACCGAATTATTGTTAGATAGTAGATACCAATCATGGAGCTAACTTCAACAACTAACTGTTCCTGGATTGTGTGAAGTGTGGCGAAGACGCGCACTTCACTATATCATTTTTAATCTGATGGTTTTGCAAAAAACATAATATAGACTGTCAAGCATATTCTTCATAAGTTTGTTAATCATGATTAAAGCACTTGATATGAGCACTTGCTCATGCTAATGCACAGAGAAACTGAGAAGAAATCAACAGTTTGTTAACTGAACATGCTTATGTTTGGGTGGAAAATCCTGCTCCCTGTAGATCTAATGTATGGTTTTCCCCCTAAAACAGATGTCCCATAATGTTTCAAAAATACACGGAGTGGTTAAGGTCTGTGTTAGTTAACTGACTTGCATGCAATTGTATGCCAATAGCTAGGAATTTCAGTTTAAGCCAGGTCATAATTTAAACTGCTGGTAATTCTTATTTAATTAATGTGTAAATAAATCCTTTATATTTATTTTTTGAAAAATGTTTCCTTTGTATTTCATGAACTTCAGGCAGATCTCACCATAACATTTTCTGTAGTTGTAGTAAGATTATTTTCCTAGGATACCACAAACTACAAAAACACAAAGCCTGGTTTCTAAAATTAGTATTCGCATTCCTGTGAAAGTTCTCAGTTCTAGAAAAGGATTTGGAATCAGTTGAAACAGTATACAGTATTTGCATGTTGTATTTATGGCAAAGCTACTAAGGCTATCTGCCACTGTCTAAATTTGAGCTACTGACTAGAGAAAAGGCAAGCCAGTCAACAGCACCCAATCATCCACCATCCATGCTAAGAGATTGACCATTACTTTGATAATGCACCCACAGCTTAATGGGTGGGGAATAATTTGTGGTATCCCACAGATTTGAACTGGGCTTGCAGTTCCAAAATCTAGATCTCTAATAGAAGGCCAAATTGTGACTTACGGTGTAGTGAGAACCTCATGAATATTGGTGGATGTGCACCTAGTACTGAGGAAGATTGGAAGCAATAAAATCTACCTCCTTAATATTTTAAACATCCTAGATCCAATACTGAACACTACTGAAAAAAAAGAGATTTCTTTAGTATTGAAAATAAGGGGTTATCTGCAGAGGGTACCTGGAGTAGAGTTTACCGCTCATTTTCTTAAGAAACATTACTTTAAGTCGGATTGTCTTATTCAAGTACAGTCATATTTGGAAGAAAAGTATAGAGAGTTTACAAAATGCAGTTTCTTGGAATGCTATGCAGATAATTAAAATGAATTCTGACAGCAAAGGAAATACAACCACACAAATGTACAATGAATAAAATGTTATTCACACAAATAGTGAATATGTTTTCACTTGACTGATTGTCTTTTAAATTAGACTATAACTTGTGGCTGCTGGGGCATAGAGATTTCCAAAATAAGTGCAGAGCAGGAATAAGAGAGCAAATCATATTGATATTACATTTTTATGTCGTACTAAGGTCCTATATAGATAGTAAGTAGATGCTGAGATGCTGGGCCAATGCTTACCATTACTTTGGGCTAATATCTTTTTTTGGTCATCTTTCTAATATTGGCTAAACAACTATAGCCAACATAAAGCCAAAATGATGCCAACAATATTTCAACATTTAATATTAATTAGCCAAGTAGCAGACCAAGGTGGGTTAAATGTTGACCCAATATAAGCATCCAGTTTTTACCTGTTGTCGATGTGCTGGACCAACCTATTATTTTTTTGTTGTTGTTGGGTATTGAATGATTTGCTAAACATTTATTGAATGTTGGCATTTGATAAAACCTAAATGAAATATTACCTAAGATTTGTTTGTGCATTTAATTCGACTCTGTACCTCATATAATGCACCCACAGCCTCAGGGTGTGGGGAATATTTTGTGGTATCACATGGATTTATAATGGCTTGCCATCTCTGAAATCCAGAGCTCTACCACGTGGCCAACATGTGCTTGCTATGAATGTAAGATGTCACGTCATGATGAGTTTAAACTCATACATTAGCTGCTACTAAAGACGACCTCTGACTTCCACCCCATCTGTTAATCTAGCATAACAAAACTTATAATACATTATCAGTCTGTATTGGTACAGGTTCATTACTTTAAGATTTGGCACACACTCATCCATTGACAAAGTTGTTGGAGTCGTGTAGAACAGTGTTATTTTAGTGTTCCTACCACACTATAATTTATCAATTGATAATCAGTATAATGTTATTTATTTGTCTCTTCCTTAATAATGTACATCTTTTCATTTGCATTTTTCAGATTATAAATAGGATGACGAAAGCAGAGCTAAGACTGCTTTTAGCAAGAGAGATGATTTATATGAATTCTGCATCCTGATATTCAGTCTGTGTAATGCACCAGCTACTTTTGAGCAACTGATTAGGCTTGCATTTAACAGACTGCAATGGAAGAGATGGCTGGTCTACGTCAACAATATTATGATGCTTTGCCACACTTTCAAGTCTGCATCAGAGAACCTAAAGATGTGTACAGAAGGTAGACTTAAAATTGAAACCGTAAAAGCGTTCATTTATGTGAACAGAAGTGGAGTTTATTGATCATACAGTTAAAAGAGACGGAGTCTCAACAGACCTTTGCAATATCCTTGGTATGAAGTCATACTTTTAATGACGTAGAGGTAATTTTTCGAAAGTAGTAGCGCCATTGTCTGCTCTTACAAAGGTGGAAACATGCTCTGCATATAGTGATAAATGTGCTCATGCATTTCAATCTCTAAATCTTGGTTTGGTGGGTGCTTCAGCACTGACCTATGCACATAAAGATTGTGAGTTTCTGATGGATTTGAATTACTGTTTTTGCAGTTGCAGGATTGAGTAGAATGTGTAATCATGTACATTAGTCATATGTCCACGGCTTCTGAACACAGACATTGTGTGACGAAGAAATAGTTATTTGTAGTGGTTATCGTCATAAAACACTACCACCAACATTCGTACGGCAGACAGTTCACCATACACGTGGACCATGCTTCTCTGAAATGATTAGTAAACTTTAAGAATCGAGAAGGAATGATAGCACCTTGACTACTTTTGTCATAGTTCATCACTCGAACCTGTAACCCAGAAATGCAGATGAACTATCTCATTGCACAGCAAGATCTTGTCTGTTCGTGGAAAGTTTTGATTCTAGACATCATGTAGAAGTTGAAACCATGATGGGATCAACAAAAGATAGATGCCACAGTTAATGCTTCAGGAGCTCCTGGACGGGCACTTGAAGTTCCTTGAGTTAGCATGGGTGCTTCTTCCTGTCCAGGAAAGTCAGGCCTGCTCAGGACTTGTAGGGGAGTTCAGCACAGCTGTATGTATAAAAAACTGGCTGAGACAGGGCAAACTCCAACAGCGAATTGTTAGGTTCCTTATGCAGAAGATGTCCTTGGATATTGCTGGTATACTCCTAGTGATTACAAAAGTTTATTACTACAAACTCATTGCCACCAACTACTTCATGAAGTAGGCCGAAGCTTATCCATTGGTTGATATGCTATCACAAACTGTTGTAGATGTATTGGCTGAGAAATGGGTAGTATGGTTTGGAGCAGTGGAAGAGATAAGCAGCCTTTCCAGCATGATGGACAAAATTGTGTGCATTAACTAAGGCAGATCTTAACTATTCCACATATGCCTGTGGATATTGTGAGACAGAACCTTACATCACGTCAACAAGTAGTATTTTCTGCCTGAACATGAGAATGTTCAGTTAATAG